GAGTGACAGCGAGAGACTGTTTGGATTCTGGCTGAATGAATAAGAAGCGTTTTCACATTTATATTTTAACAAAATGTGAAGTTTTGAGGAGGAAACCCGAGCAGACGATCCAAACATCTGTCCGCCGACCCGGTTCCCACTGACAGACCAACAGCTGAGGTGTTTGTTCCAGATGTTTGCTGTTTCCTCTCAGCCTGCTCCCTCAGCGTTTTATTAGTCATGGGGTGAATATGATTACAGCTTCTCATCCCTCAAGTTTATCTTAGATTTTTTGCTAATTGCTCCATAATAGAAGCATAATCCCCCACTTTCATTAACAAAGGCTGAAAATTAAGTGTTGGCATCACATCTGCTCCCGAGCCCTCGGCGTCTATAAATACGTGTGAACCCGCCCGGCTCGCTTAGTTATTGCTATACAATTTCTATTATCTTCCATTCCTGCTGAGATAAAGCTTTATAATCACCGAGTGGGGAATTAAAGAATTAGCTGCAGAGCGGAGTGCTGCTGGGGTCTATTTGTGGCAGCGCCGAGGTGTTTTTCTTCTTCACTCACCTCCAACAAAAGGTGAAAATTGCACCCGGAGGGGAAGCGCTTCGAGGGGGGAAGAGGTGCAGCTCCAGCCCATCCTCCCCTCTTTGTCTCCGGAGCTGCTTTGGCTCGTCACCCAGAACCCACAGCTGCACCGGAGCTGGACTCGGTGGTACCAGGGACGGACCGCCGGGGCCCCGGAGGCCCAGAGGACCGCCGAGCACAGCAACACCTCAGAGCTGCAGGAAGCAAAGGAAGCCTTCAGTGGGTTTAAAAAGATGTTTTCTGATCATGAAGACGACCAGAGAGACCGAGAACGCAAAGACAAAGACAAAGACACACAAAATAACCACAAAGAAAAAACTATGAAGACACAAAGCGATCAAATAGAGGCATGAAATGACTACAAGGCAACACAAACCAACTACAGAAGATAAAAAATGGCACAAAGAGGTAAAAAACACACCCGCACAGAGACGCAAACTAACAAAGAAAAGCTCTAACGAACTGCAAAAGAGAGAAAAAACAAACACAAAGTGCCACAAAATGACCAGAAAGACAGAAAAGAACAGCAAAGAGACACAAAACTACAAAACGATGAGATGCAGACCACCCAAAAAACACACAATGACTGCAAAGAGACACAAACGAAGTGAAGAAGACAGAATGTAACCACAAAATGACGCCACACAGACAAAAACTGCAAAAAAAAGACAGAATAGAACTACAGAGACACAAAACAACAACAAAGAGACACAAAACTGCTACAAAAAGATGCAAAAAATAGCAGAAAGAGATGCAAAATGATGGTAAAGACCCACAACAGGACAAAGAACCTGCAAAGAGACACAAAACAACAACAAAGAGACACAAATCAACTAGTTACTTAGTTCTGAACACAAAGGGCTGGTGCTGCAGTGCATTGTGGGACACTCCTACTTCAGTCCGACCCGTTCTTCCTCTTTGCAGGCTGTAGACGATGAATCTGAGCTGCTGTCGCTGACATGCAGTCAGAAGCTTCGTTAGTCGAGCTGACCGCCGCCCGCTGCTCCAACCCGCTAATTGCTGCGCTAACCTCCGACCAGTCGCTCAGGTAAGTGCACACCTTCGCTCAGCCGCCTGCAGCAGCTGAAAGTCACAGCTCGGGCGAGGAGACGGGTGGAGGTGGCAGGTGCTGGTCGGGTAATCGAGCGGGAAGCTGCGAGTTTAAGGCTGCGATCTCACCTCCGATATGAACAACTGCCAAAGCGCTTCCTGTTGCTACGAAGCCTTGGAGCGGCGACAACAAACAGGGACTCGCTGAACACCGTCAGTCCTCCAGGTGTCACAAACACTCGACACCTTTCAGGTCAGCTTCAACCCTTGTGCATGAAAAAAAAGAAAAAAACTCCTCCGAACCGACCGCAAAGAAACAAAACAGAGACAGGAAAGCCTGGAAACAGATGCAAGATGACTGCAAAGACACAAAAATGACTGCAAAGAGACGGAAAAATACCACAAATAGACACAAAACGACAGCAGACAGCACAGTGACGGCGCCGGTGCAACGCAAACAGACAAAAACCTGCAAAAAAATGAGCACAAGCACGAACAAACCCACCGCAAAACGACGACAATAACGGCAAAGAGGCTCAAAATGATCCAGAACGACAGAAAACGACCAGAAGGAAGACGCAGAATGACAATAAAGAAACAAAAACAGACTAAAAAGAGAAAAAACACCTGCAGAGAGACAGAAAACAACAAAGACAGAAACTGAAGAAGATGCAAAAGAGAGAAAACGTCCATGAAAACAAACAGAAACACAAACCAGCAGCATCGAGGTGACGACTCCTCTACGTCTTCTCCTTTAAATCTTATACACACACGACGCTTTACAGATTTAAATATTTTAGAAATCTCTCAAAAACTTATTTAAAACTAAAAATGGCAAATAAACTGAAACAACTAAATGTTCCTTTTTCTCACATCATCCATCCATCATCTCTACACCTTCATCCTCACTATGGGGGGCTGGAGTCTATCCCAGCTGACTCAGGGTGAAGGCAGGTTCACCTGGACAGGTAACCAGTCTATCACAGGGCTACACTTAGAGACAGACAACCAAGCACACTCACATTCACACCTACGGACAATTTACAATCACCAATTAACCTCAGCATGTTTCTGGACTGTGGGTGATCACCAGTCGTCTATTCATCTCCGTCCATTAAACAAAATCTAAATCCACAGCAGTCCCTCAAATAACCAGAAACTGGAAAAAGTAATAATAAATAAAAAAAATTGCTAAATTATTATTTAGTGAAATAAGATTTTGCTTTTGAATTGTGGGTAAAAAAAAATAATTAAAAAAATAAAAAATAAAAATAAAAACTGTGGTGGACCAATGAGAGGCCTTTGCTGCTGAGCAGTGGACCAGAATACCTGTCAACAGGTGAGAAGTCTGACTGAGAGTTACAGGAAACACCTGATGCTGCCATTTGATTGGCTCAGAGGGCTGATCAGGTAGATAAGTCGGTCACGGGTCCCATCAGGCTGGTTTTTAATATTTCTGTTGAACCACAATTCAAAACCAACGTCATGATGTTCATTAAATGTTTATTTATTATGACTTTTGTCAGTTTCAGCTCATTTCAGTGATTTATTTGTTTTCCTTCTTTAACAGGAGGGTATGAATAAATGAGGACGACTGTATGTCTGGTAACTTCTACATATTTTAACAAAAATCAACAAAACCCCCCAAAAAACAACCAAATCTGTCATTAAAGAATATTTTTACTGGATTTAAATACAAGCTACAGTTACTGCTTTACAAATATTAAAATATATATCTATATATATTAAAGATTTAAAACCTGGAAATCAATTTTAATTATTTAACCAATTTTCCTGCTTTGTTAAGTGACAGATAATATCTAGTAAAAAAATAAATATATGTCGATTGTAAACAGAGAAAACAGACCAAACCTGTTAATCAGGAGTCTTTAGCAGTTCTTCTACAATGTGTGGAAAATAAATTGAACCATTTTTCTGCATTTAAACCCACAAAAATTATCATTATTTTACTGATACAACTTAATTTTTTTGAAGCATGACCGTTTTCTAACCTCCGTTGTTATATTTTATCAGCTCATCGTGTTCTGATGACTACAAACCTCAATATTTAACAAAATGAAAGTAAAACAAAGATAAAGTTAAATTAATTAAGCGTTCTCACATTCACACACAAAAACACGACAGGAAACTGGTTCAGACTCAGATTTATCGTATAAATACTGAATATAGTACAAATGCACGGTACAGTCGTCTCCACAGCGCCCTCTGGAGTCCAGGCAGCAGAACACAACAGGACAGCGCCCCCAGCAGGCGGACGGTGGGACTGAAGCCCACCAGGAAACACACCAGACTGGTTTTATTTCCCAGCTTTAGCTTGTTTTTCGCAAATTCTGCATTTATTTAAAAAACAAAACGTAAACGTGCTGCGTCTCCGAGTCGATCCCTCACCGGCCTCCCACCAGCTGAGCTCTAAGAACCCTCACCAGGTTTAAATTAACAAATAAAATCCAGCTGCTTTTTTTAACGTAAATCTAAAAAATAAAAAATCTGAAGCGACACCTCTAAAATAAAAGACCTTAAACTGTAGAACGTTTTCAAACCGTGGTCGACGAAACACTTGAAAAACTTTCAGGTTTTATTTTTATCTGAACTGCTCACGTGATTCTCAAACGTTCTGGTTCTGATGATCTGAACCCGACCTGCTGGATCCTGAAACCGGTTCATAAATAAACGTCATCAACAAAAAACACCTTAAATGAAAACTTCTCCACCATAAATAACTCCGTGTGAGGTTCCTCTGAGTTCTTATGAACGTCTGTGAACCTCCAACGATTCATGAACACGTCTGTAACAGCAGGAAACATCTGGACCTGAACATGGAGACGGGTTGTTGGAACGCCAAGATGCTTCCAGTAAAGTTCTGGCAGCGACTAGAAACCGTCTCCGTGCTCAGATCTGCTACAGCTCGTCTGGCTTGGCTCAGTTTAAGGAACTCACCAAAGAAAAGAAATCAGGAGACTTGATGAGATGATCGGCTGGTAGCTCCTGGAGCTAAAACATGAGACCATGAAATGTTTAAAACGACCAAAACATCGACCAGCGTGGCCTCAAAATGTTCACGACGACTAAAGACTGAAGTCTGAAATGACTTAATTATTGTCAGAAAAGTCAAGAATGATTCAAGATTTCTGCAAAATGAACCCAAATATGTTGAAAATGACACGAAATCTGTTCAGTGACTGAAACATGAGACACCTGGATGGATGTCGAACTGATCAGGACGTCATTCTGCTGCTTGGTTTTGTTGTTTTGTGAATCTCTGGGACAGTTTTTTCTGGTTGTGGTCGTTTTGTTGATCGTTTCTGTCACTTTGCGTCTCGTTTTTCCTGTTTTGTGTCAGATTTTGGGCATTTTGTGTCTCATGTGTCTCGTGTTGTGTGATTGTGTCGCTCGTTTTTGTTGTTTCGTCTCTTTTTTGTCATTCAGTTCTGATTGTTTTACGTGTCTTTGGGAGGTTTTTGTCTCTTACATCCCATAATACTGCTGATCTGGTGTCAGGTTCTACCAGAACTCAGATGTGTTCTTCCTCCTAAATGTCATGTGTCTATCTGCTGTTCTGATGAAGTTCTGAGGCTCAGGGTCAGTGATCAATCTGGACCCGTCCCTCTGTGGACTTCATGGACCTGGCAGAACTCTGGTCAGTGGATGAAGGTGCTGCAGATACAGAACCAGATGTTCTGAAGAGGGGCTTTATTCAGATCTGGTTGGACTTCTATGAGATCTATTAAATAATAAGTCATAACAGCGGCGAACAGAACCAGCACCACGGTGTTTGTTTGACTTTGGTGAACGTCTGCTGATTAGATCAGAACCGTTTCTCCTGTCGGGTCAGAGTTCAACAACAAAAGAAAGAAGAACCAACGAGGATAAAAAGCTGAAGAAAAGAGAAGCCAACAGTCTGAAGCTCCAGCGCCACGTGGCAGATTGTTGGTGGAGCGTCCGTCGAAGCCCGACTAGAACCCACCAGAACCCAACTCTGCTGTCTGACTCGTCAACCAGCAGATTAATTGTCTCCAAGTACCTCCAGTAAACAGTTCGTTTAAATCCGGTTAAGACTGGTGGAGCCGCAGCAGCGCCACCTGCTGGAGCGCTCCGGGTCGGAACCAAGCTTTAAAGACCGCGGTGGCAGGACGAGGCGGGCCTCCTCATCCCAGCAGGCACCAGGGGGTCAGGCTCTGGTCGCACTCCAGCTTGGTGCTGAGGACGGTGCAGGGGGCGCCGCTGATGACCAGCTCCTGCCGGGACTCCACCTGGTACCGCAGGTTGGTCAGGCCGCCCTCCGGGTCCACCTTAAACTGCTCCTGCAGGGGGAGGGGGGGGACCAGGAGGAGGGGAGGGGGAGGGGCGGTGAAGGAGGAGGACCAGGAGGGGGGACGAGGAGTTCAGATGTCGGAGGTTCGTGTTTCAAAGTGACATTTTCATGCAAAAGGGAACAAATAAAGTATCTATAATCAATAATCAATCTATAATCTATCTGTTCATCTAAAACGTATTCACGAGTTTCTCTAAAACATTTCAGCAGCGAATAAAAACGAGTTTTGTTTCAAAGTCCAGACGTTTCCTGATGAGCAGCAGCTTTATAACAACAGATGTTCTGTTCTAATCACAGCTGGAGGTCCGGGTGCTGTTCTGGTCCTGGTTCTGGTTTTAGGGTTAAAAAGAACCGACCCTGAACTGAACTGACCCTCGTACACCCTGATCACCAGCAGGTGGCGCCGACCCACCGACTCTCTGAGCCTGAACAAGGTCGGGTTTAAACGATTCTCCATCAGAACCTGAAGACGTTTCAGCTCCTCTGATGATCTGAGACAAAGAACCAAACGTCTGCTTTAAATCAGGATGTTTACAATAAAAACACGTTATTCTGCCAGAAACGAACCAGGTTCTTTTAGTGAATCGGGTTCAAGCACATGGAGGAACTCTGAGCTCCAAAAGCCAAACATCAGAACCATCAGCCTGACGGACTTCAGTTAATTAGAACCATTTAATGTGAATGTTTCAAAATAAAATGTCACAATCTGAGACTTTTGTTTTGAAATCTTGGTCGAAACCTTTCAGCGGGTTTGAAAAGCGTCTTGTGACATAACTGACCAGCTGGAAACCAGAAAAACTGACAGAACGGTTTGATTTCTGATGTTCTGATGGTTCTTGAGCTTCTCATCTGCGGGGGTTTTCGGTTCCTTCCCACTGTTGTGGACTGCTTGCGGACTGCTGAAGCTTATAGGGAATCCAGATGTTTTGGATTGTTGGGTGTTTCTGTTTCTGCCTTTGTGAAGCGCTATGAGATGACTTGTTGTTGTAAATATGCGCTATACAAATAAAATTGAATTGAATTGAATTGAATTGAAGAAATCGGAGCTCAAAACTCTGATTTTTTGACAGAATCACTTTATTCTACGTGTCTGATTTTAAAATGTACCAAAAAAAAAACATTTGATCTGAACAGATTTAGTAAAAAATAAAAATCTGTAGAAGCGTGAAGCCACGACGGACTGAGCTGTGACCAAAACACGAGTGTTGTTTGTCCTTTAGGTTGAACTGCAGCCAGTGTTCCTCCCTCTGACAGTAAATCAGACTGGTTCTGCTTCAGCTCCGTCAGCATTACCAACAGTATTTATATATATATTTATATGTTTTTGAAGATGAGATGCTTTTCAAACCCTCTGGAAGGTTTTTTTCGTTCACAAAGTTTAGACCAAAATGTCAAATTCTGACGTTTATTTTTGGTTAAATGTTAAACGAGACCTGCAGAATGAAGTGATTCTGTGTAAATGTGTTGATTTGGAGAGAAGCACAGATTGTTTTACTAAATCTGTTTCCATCACAGGTTTATTTTTTGGTAAATTTTGAAATAAGACACGTGGAACAACTTTTCATTCGTTGGATGTAAACGTCTGGCTCCAGCTGTACGGTCACGTTGATGTTTGCTGGTAAACATCGTCGTCTTTTTATCCTGCAAAGCTGCTGCTGCTGCTTCACCAGTTCAGGAGTCAGATTTACTTCATCTGTTACAACACGTGAAGTAAAACCTCAGCGTGGACGCAAAGAGAGGAAAGTTTCAGCCACAAGAACGTCTGCACAACGCTAGAAAAACCTTCCTCAGAGTTTCACAGCCGACTTGACGGTCTAAAGGCTCATCGTTTATCTGGGTTTGCTCATCGCGTCCTGGAACAACCATCGAGCTTCTCCAGGTTTACCTCCTGCTGATTCTCGTACCTGCTTCTGGGCGGCGACTCTCTTCTGGTCCCGCTTCCTCCAGGCCGGGTCGTGGATGTGCAGAAAGGTTTTGTACCCAGTGTCGATGCCGTGAGGTCTGAACAGCTGCACACAGACAGAACAGCGACCCGAACACTTTAAAACGCCGTCACAGCTTCACAGGATGAACCTTCTGCAGATCGAGAAGCTCTTTGAAGTCAGAGAGAAGCTGAACGATGTCTCGTTTCTCACCTGTAGCTCGGCTTTCCTCAGGCGCCGGTAGAACTCGTCGTCCTCTCTGCCCCAACCCCAGAACCGGTTCGACATCCCGTTACACTGCAAAACAAGCCCAAACACATTTAGACCTTTTCACACCTGGAGCTCATCTCTGGAGCGTCGCAGCTTCAGAAACCGTCTGTAAACATGCAGAAGCGTCATTAAATGCTGATTAACGGCCCGTTAGCTTCCGGCCCCGCGGCGCCCCGTCAGCCCCGGACCAGTACCATGCGGTAGTGCTTCTTGGTGAGCAGCAGGATCCCGCCCACGTACGTCTTGTAGTGGTACAGCGGGTGCAGCTCCGGCGACGCCACGTGGAACGGGCCGTCCTCGGGGAAGCCGTAGTCCAGCGCCTCGTTGAGCGGCAGCAGGTCCACGTCGTGCATCGCCAGGTAGTCGGTGTCGTTGCCGCTCTCCAGGTAGCCCACATTGATCAGAGACGCCCGGTTGAACCTGAAACGAGGAAGTATTAGCAACACCACGCGACAGGTGGACAACGTGAGCCGCCATCTTGCTCTGATCGGCTCCAATCAACGACTCTGATTGGCTGAATTTAACCTCATTAAGACGCCGGCTGTCCTCTGATCAGCAAACAAACCAAGACTTCAGCTCCAAAAACCTTCAGCTGTACGACAGTAACTATGGAGCAGTGAGAGGCCAACTTACCAAAATAAATCTGTAAAAGAATAAAATAAAAATAAGAATAAATAAAATAAAAAATAAATAATGTGGCAACATTAATCAAACATGAATCCATAAAAGAAAAAAAGGCTGATAAAAGTAGAAACATAAAGACAAAATAAATAAAATAAAAAAATTCTATTTTTTATTTATTTTTTAATTTGTAATTTTTTTTAAAATTATTTTTTAAAAATAATTTTTATGTCGCTTTAAAAGCAAAATATGAGCAGAAAAATGTGCGCAGTAGGAATGTCATAAAAATGATTTTAAAATCAGAAATCAAAATAATAAATACATTTAAAACAACAACAATAATAATAATAATAATAAATTGTATATTTTTTAAAGTTATTTAATTCTTTGATTCGGTACTTCCTGTGTAGAATTTGGTCCGTTTATGTTGAACAGTCGACACTGAACACGGTTTTGATCCGACGGTTTTTGAAGCGTTCTCACCATAAAATCAAACCTGAACTCCAGAACTCATTCTGACCCAATCAAACCCCCGTAAACACCAAACGGTTTCTTCTTCTGTGGTGGCGGCGCCGCCCTCACCTGTAGTGGTCCACCTGGTTGATGATGAGGATCTTGTGGCGGATCTTCTTCTTGTTCAGGAACCTGTGCATGAAGGGCACGAACACCAGCAGCTCCTCGAAGCGCTCTCTGAACGGAACCACCAGGGCCAGCTTGTGAGGACCCCAGGACGGGTCGTCCGCCGCAGACGCCTGACCGTCGGCCGGGCAGGGCGGCGGCGGCGGCGGCTGGGGGCCTCGCAGGTCCTCGTGGGTCATGGAGGACATGTCACCTGAACAGCTGAGCTGCAGCCAGAGCAGAGAGACCAGAACCAGAACCATGCAGAGGCCAAAGAGCTTGTAGATGGTGCATTTCCCCGACAGGAACCTGGAACACAGAGGGACGGAATCAAAGGTCTGTCTGGGTTCTGGTTCAGCATCTGGACTTCTTTAAACACGAGTTACATCCAGGCGAAGCATCAAAACCAGCAAGGTCCACATTAAACACGTTCTGAGTCAGAACCAGCAAACATCGGCCCAAACACATCAAGTCACAGGTCGAGACGGTAAGTCCAGTCCAACAAGTTCAAAGTCAAAACCAGCAAGGTCCAGGAACAAGACTAGAAAGTTCTGGGGTCAGAACAGAAAGTTCTCGTTCAAACATACTAAATTCTAGGTCAAGACTAGGAAGGTCCAGGTCAAGACCCGAAAGTTGTGGCTCAAAAATATCCAAGTCACGGTCAAGACTAGAAAGCACAAGCTGAAGACCAGCAAGTTCCAGGTCAAGACCAACCAGTTCCAGGTCAAGACCAACAAGGTCAAGTACAGAAACTTCCAGGTCAAGTTGGGTAAGTTCAAAGTCAAAACCAGCAAGTTCCAGGTCAAGACTATAAAGTTTTGGGGTCAAGAACAGAAAGTTCTCGTTCAAAAATACCAAATTCCAGGTCAGGACTAGGAAGTATTTGGTCAAAAATGTCAAATTTTCTGTGTGTCAGTGTAAAGCGTTCCAGGTGGAAACCAGCAACTTCTAAGTCAAGAATTCCAGGTTCCAGGTCAAGTCAGGTAAGTTCTAAGTAAAAACCAGCAAGTCAAAGGTGAAGAGCAGAAGGTTGTGGCTCAAAAATATCAAAGTCACGGTCAAGACTAGAAAGTTCAAGTTGAAAACAAGCAAGTTCCAGGTCAAGACTAAATTCCAGGTAAAATATCAAGATGTGGGTGAACGCCAACCATTTCCAGGTCTGAAAATCAGTTTCTAGATCAAAAATCAGCCAGTTCAGTGTCAAGACCACGAAAGTCAAGACCAACAAGTTCCAGGATGACACCATTAAAGTCCAGGACAAAACCAACAGGGTCAAGTACAGAAGGTTCCAGGTCAAAACCAGCGAGATCGAGGTCAAGGCCAACAGTTTCCAGGTCAGAAAGATCCGTTTCTAGTCAAGATAAGCGAGTTCCAGGTCAAGACCAGCAAACTCTGGGCCAAGAACCAGAACTTTCAGGTTGAGACAACCAAGCACGGGGCCAAAAATGTCAGGTTCCAGGTCAACACCAACCAGTTCCGAGTCAAGACCAGAAACGTCCAAGAGAAGAGATGAAATAAGGATGAGCAGATCCGTCAGGGAGACGTGAGGATCACCGTCTGAATGTAGGTTTAAAATCCAGCCGTTGTGACGCCCCAACACACGGGTCCAGTAGTTTCTGTGGTTAGTACTGATCCAAACAAGCATCAGAACCAAACAGCACACCAACACACTGCACGGTGGACTCATTCAGGACCTTGTTAGTTTTCTACAAGCTGCATTTTCACACCACCTCCTGTTGCAGGTGCAGAACGTTCCTGAGCGATTAGTCCATCAGATAATTAAGACATCAGCAGTAAAACAGGAAATAAAGACTCGTTGGTTACATGCAGTGACATCAGAAGTTCCCAAACTGGAGCTCGTTAAAAACCTAAAGCTGCAGAAACAGATAATTAATCAGCTGATGACTGGAGGAACAATCAGGAACTGAAGTCTGAACATCTGATGGCTGCAGCTTCTGGAAAAGGTGATTTTTAGACTAAATCAGCCTCAAACATGAACCGATTTATGTAAATTATCAGCTCAGTTTAAGACATTATGTTAATTTATGGCTGAGAACTTTCCAGAAGCATCACGTCGGCACTTCATTCATTTATTTATGTGATTATTTTGGCTTTAATGTCTGATTTATTCCATCAAACACTAAACACTCGACATGAAGTCTGCATCATCAGAAATCTGGTAAAGCTGAATAACAAAGACCTCGGCGTGTCCCTGAACCACAGTTTGGGAACCGCTGATCCAAACAGAGCTACTCACTTCTCTTCGTGGTGGAGAACTTTAGAGGCGTCACTTCTTCAAAGGTCAAGAAAGAACGTTAATTAACAGGGTTTATTGGTTTGTTCTCTTTCGAGAACCTTTTTCACCATCATGAAGAAACGAAACCTAAAATAAGTCCAATGATTGTTCACTGAGCACCAAAGTTCACTGACTTTAAACCAGAGTTTTGTCTTTTGTGCTCACCGACGGTGGAACAAAAACCTCTCGTTAAATCGAGCAATAATTAATAAAACATGTGTTCAGTAAACTGGAGAATAACATCAACATAAAACACATTTAATGCTGTGACTTCAGTCTTTAACTTCTTTTTTATTTTTTGCATAATGAGCTGGTGGCATCACGTCAACAAGTGAAAGATAAAATCTTGTTTATGATCAGAACTGATGTTTAAAATAAAACAAATAGATCAATATGTTCTACTGCAGTTTTCTGACGGAGGCTTTTTTTTATGTGGCAGCGCACAAAAGTATTAATGCATCAGAATATATATATTTTTAAATTGAATTTAGCACCGATTACATAGAAAACAACAAACTTTGTGTTTCATAAAAAACGACTTTGGTATCATGTAAACTAACTGGCATTTAACGGGCTACATAATTTACCAAATAATGAATTTATAATTTGGGGAAAAACAGATTAAAATGGATTAAAGTAATTATTGAAGTTTTATTCATTCTAGTTTTAAGTGTCTGAGTCTCTGCTGCAGAAAAACTAAGAAAAATTAATTTAACATTTTGAATTTTAACTTCGTCCTGAAGCCAGTTTTAATTATTCCATCATATTTCTGTGCATGTTGTTAAACTTTACTGTTAATTTCATTATTTTAAAAGCACTTAAAATAACTGTTTTTGATTCATTTATTGGGGAAAAAAATATTTGTACAAAACACTTTGAATAAACTGAGCACATGACAGAACTTTCCTGTACGGTTATTTTTTTTAAATTTAATTTATTTTTAAAAAAAAAGTACTTTCAACGATCTGTGCACATTATGAAACCTGACTGTGCTGTTTTTAAGTATTAAAAAAAACAAAAAAAACAAAGCAGTTTGATTAACCCGTGCACATTACTTAACTTAACTTGACTGTTCTAATTTTTTAATTTATTCAAATAGAGTTTTGTATATATTTTCAATAATCTGTGCATTTTTTTCGAACTTGTCTGTTCTGTTTATTTAATTAAATTATTTTTATAAAGTACATGGAATAACCTGTGCACATATTCAGCTTTCTCTATTTTTTACAATTTCTATTTTAATTTATTCCATATATTTTTATAAAGCACTTTTAAAAAATGTCTGTTTTTTTTAAATAATTAAAAAAATAAATACATTTATTCAACTCTTATTTTTTCTCTAACTTCTACAAAGCAATTTAACCACTCTGTGCACTTTTTAAAACTCGTCTGTGCTGTTTTTAATTATCCAGTTTATTTAATTGAACCTTTTCCTGCAGTATTTTATATTTTACGTGTTTTTATAATTTGTTCTTGTCCCTGTGAAGAACTTTAATCACCTGCATGTGTGATAATGAGCTTTATTAATGAGATTTTAAACTCGACGCTTCTCCAGAACCCCTCTTTCACCCGCTTTGGACCGTTTTCACTGTGAACTACCAGAACACTGTGGTTCTAACTGGACCTGGACGTCTATCTGTGGTCCTGCTCACCTCCTCTCCTCCTTGAAGTACAGCACCGGCTTCCTCCGCGACGAATACATCATTTTTAGACTCGAGTTAAACCGAACCGGACCGAACTTTAGCCTCCATCGGCCGGACCGTCGTCCATGTTGGCTCTGCGCCGCCGGTTTCCAGCTGCTCGGGGAGGTGAGCGGTTCGAGTCCCGGTTACTGCTCCGGATCCATGTTAGCCTCGTTAGCTAGCTAGCTAGCTGCCGCTGCCGCCGCTGGACACGTAGCATGTACCGGGTCGCGCTCACCGCCGCTCCGGGTCCGAACCCGCCCGGCTTCGCTCCGCGGCACCGCCCGTCGCCGAGGCTCCGTCAGAGTCGCACCGCGGCGGGAAGCCACATTTCACGCGACAGACGCGGACCGAAGAAACGTTTCGGGCTCAAATCACGGAGAGAAACATCAAACAGAAGCCGATTGTAGTGCGGTCCGACCCGGTATGAGTCCGGGTGGGAACGGAGGCGCCTCTGTGCAAAGGTTCCTACCGCGATGTAATCAGATTTAAAGGAGCAGTCCGGCAGTTTGGGATGAATTCAAGCTAATGTCACTTCTGACATTAGAACTTTACATTAAATGTTTGATGTGGATCTATATTTTTATTTTAGTCTGTATTTAGCTGATGAAACACTTTGTCCATATATGTGCAATATTTTAACCAACCAAGTTCAGTATCCAGTCTACCTGCTGCTACAAAAACATTTAGTTTAAACACAACTAATGTGGCTTTTCTACTCTAATGTTTAGATTTTGTACTACACTTGTATTGCTGTATTATTACTTATATTTTACTCTTGTTCTATTGTACAGGATTTTTCTTAAAAAAAAAAAAACAGGACCTGATTTGGTACCACAACGTGAATGTGAGCTGGCATGACAAATAAAGTTCCTTGAATCCTTGAACCATCACAGATCAAACCAACTAAGAACTGGATGTTTCTAACATTTATATAAAGTACACCGTCGCCCATGAAGTTGGAATAACTCTTTCAGACACATTCCTCTTTTTATTTCATTCATACACATCAGTGATCCCTTCTGACCAGGTGATGATCACATCCTGAGTCCCAGTTACCAGGTGGAACCAGTTCTGACTTGGGTGGGACGTCCTGCCCACTGACACCATCGACCAGCTGGTGGACAGAACGCCACCATGTCACTGATCCGTGTCAGGTGGTCAGACTCAACATTAGTGACTGAGAGACCTTTAAAGCGTAATAATGGACATTCTGATGCATGAAATC